TTGACACTGAAATTTTAAATTATTAACTTCTTTTGCTACTTTGATTACCAAAATTTTGTCATCTTCAATAAGTTTTATAGCATTTTGAAAAAGAGCTGCTTGATTGTGTACAAACTGTAGACAAATTTTTGAAGATTCTTTTTCAAAAAACTCTTCTAAATTTCTAGGACATTTATCCTGTGATAGAAAGTAGGATTTCAAAGGATCATATATTTTCAAAAATCTTTCGACAGCTAGCAAAGGAGCTAAGCAGTACATTTTACTTTATCCAAGTATTTTCTGATATTCAACTTTTGCAGTTTCACAAAATTCTTTAAGCATTTCAACGTGCACAGTGTATATATAGAAATAAGAATATATTTTAATAACAATATTTTCCACATCTATGGGCAACAAATCAGCAGTTGTTTGAATGGCGTTATGTATTATGTGTGCTGCACAACCAACACCAATAATGTTTTGATTAAGGTTTTTGTTTAATATAAAACTCATATCCTGGCGAAGTAGCTATATGGCAGCCATATATTCCCTTCCTGTTCTCCTGCCCTTCCCTAGCTTGTAGTGCATTCTTTCCAAAAATCAGGACTTTTTAAAATGCTGCAGGACACGGGACAAATTGTTAAAAATCAGGACTGTCCCACCAAAAGCGGGACATCTGGTCACTTTAGTTTATCACAGCTTAATTTACAATCGTTAAAATGTGGAAAGAGCCTAAAGGCTCACCAATCTAGGAATGAATTAATAGGCTATGGTATATATATATATACCATGGAACACTATTTGGCCAGAAAAAAAATGGAGACTTTCCATCTTTTGTATTAACCTGTATGGAGGTGGAGCATATCTTTCTTAGTAAAGCATCACAAGAATGGAAAAACAAGAATCCAATGTCCCCTATTCTAATATGAAGGCATCAGATGAGCTAATACAAGGGGTGGGGGGACAGGGGAATGAGCAAGTGGGGAGAAGAGAGAAGGGAGGGCAATGGGGGATTTTGGTGTATATCATACCTCTTTGGGGCAGGACACAATTATAAGAGGAACTTTATCTAACAAATACAATCAGTGTAACCTAATTCTCTGTGCCCTCAATGAATCCCAAATGATAAAAATAGGAAAAAAAAAAAAAAGAATTTATAAATATATAATGTATATGTATGGCCCTTACTTAGTGGGTTGTAATTTGTGATATTTTATGGTTGTTGTGCAAAGAACAGGTTATTTTTGTGGCCTAAATCTAGATTTGGCTCTGTTGTAACAGTTACTATTGTATCTTTGAACAGTTATCAAATTATCTGACTTGCAGACTTTGCATTTGTAAAATGTGGTAATCCTGTCTATTTCCCCCTTTTAATTTTTACAGATATGTTGGTCTTAATAGGGACCAACATTTATTAAAGTTGAGAAATAAGAATGGTTGTTAGCAAATTAGAGGGGATAGTTCTTAGGCACAGAAATTGTAGTAGAAAGTAGAAAGAGAAGAAACAAAACAGTTGCTAAAAAAATGTATGGAAACCATTGAACTAGATAAACTCCCAGGACCCTGTGTTAACCACACACTTGGCTGCTTCAAAAACAGAAGTTTATTCTCTTAAAGTTCTGGGGCCTAAAGTTTAAAACCATGGCATTGGCAAGAGCCATGTTCCCTCTGACCCTCCAGAGGGAGCTCTTTGCTGTTTTATCTTCTGATGACTTGCTGGTGTCCTTTGACAACAGCCAAACTACTTTACCTTTGAAATAAAGCATCTTCAAATCTCTCTGCTTTGTCTTCACTTGATTTTCTCCTCTGCTTGTGCAGTCATTGACCTGTATGTACATTTCATATCTTTCTCTAAGAGAAGTAGGGATGTGCAACTTGAGAATCAGAATAAATACTCGTTAGGTACCAAGAGAAGGGTTTGCACTATAGTTTGTCTTGACCAAGTTTAGATGATACTTCCCCATTATCTTTTTATTTGCAACATCCAGGTAAATTAGGTAGATGAAGTTCTGAACTTCATCAGTCCAAATTTCTCTACTATATATATCATTGGAAAAGACATTATCTATAAAGGATTATAGCAACATGAGTTTTGTCATAGTAGCATGAGTTTCACTTAAAACCCATTAGTGCCAGTGTACTTTAAATTACTCTAAGTAATAGATAAACAATAAAAATTTCCCACTACTTTTAGCAATGCAGTAATTTGTCAAAATAAAACAGAATTTGAGCAAATAGGTATGCCATCATAACTCTGGACCACCATATATATCAACATAACTTATTAAAAACTTATACTGGGGCGGCACCTGTGGTCAGTAGGTAGGGCGCCGGCCCAATATACTGAGGGTGGTGGGTTTAAACTTGGCCCCAGCCAAACTGCAACAAAAGAATAGCTGGGCGTTGTGGTGGGCACCTGTAGTCCCAGCTACTCGGGAGGCTGAAGCAAGAGAATTGCCTAAGCCCAGGAGTTGGAGGTTG